CTACTGCCACCAAAATCTATAAATACATTAAATGAACATGCCAATTAAGAGAGAATGGTATGTGTGAAAGAATGATGTTATTTCTAGGTAGGAGTGGGTATAAGCGGAGGAGTATTGCCAATATCATTTAAGAGGGTGTAATTGAATAATGACAAATGGAATGAACTATCATTGCTATTGAAATAGCTTTTGTTTTGCATGCATCCTATCCCATGCCCCACCTTTTTCTCTTGTTACATAACAACAACAACATTAATGTAATAGATAATATCAATTATAAACTATGAATATTCCGTTGTAAAAGCTAACATTTCCACAATGATTAACATCACTTTTAACATGTTGCGACTTTGTGTTGCATATCAAAGTAAATAGTTACATCACTTTTACTCAATGTGAAAATAAGATTATAGTAATAACATTATCAAATCACACATAAATTATGTTGCATTTACTCACCTGGGAATTTTACAGTGCACTCTACATTATAATCCAATGATCCATTATAGCAAGCTGGGTTAGAAGTGACCCCCCCATCAGTGCAATTGGTCGGACCATCTTGAGTGGAGGTACAGCTGATGTTCGACAAGTAAAGAGCTCCAGTGGGCAAACGATATCCTGAAGATGGTATTTTTTTACCATCTGAGAGGAAACAAGTTGAGAAGGTTTGAAACGAAAAACGGTGAAAGGATCAATATCATCAAAGAAAATCAAAGCTTACATATGTATCCTAAAGAGTTACAAAACAACTGAGCTGCTTCTTCATCAATGCTACCATCATCACAAAAGCCAAACAAAATTCCATCCTGACACACAGCAAAAGTGCCATTTATTGTTTCAGTTCCATTAACAATCACTGACTGATTGTTGTATAGACTAATTTCAGGGCCATTACAAACACCAGCTGAGATTTGATAAATAAGGAAAGATAAAATGGAGGAATTTAAAAGAAAGAGGAGGAGACAAAAGATTAAGAAGAGAAGAAAGAACAAGAAAGGTTAGGGAGTGAAAGAGAAAGAGAGAGCATAAGTAAGAAAATCCCAATAAAATATTATTCCATTTACCATTAAGAATGTAACAATAATATTTAAATGTTTAATGAAATTTATGTTCTATTTATTTACTTACTTGAAAATCTTCCAGAACACTTTACATTATAATCTAATGATCCATTATAGCAAGCTGGGTTAGAAGTAGGCTGGCCTTCAGTGCAATTGCTTGAGCCATCTTGAGTGGTGGTACAACTGATATCTGACAAGTAAACAGCTCCAGTAGGCAAGCTATATCCTGAAGATGCAACCTTTTCACCATCTGAAAGCAAAAATGGAAGCATAGAAGTGTTAGTGGGGAATAAAAATAAATGATGAAAGGAAATAGAGGAGATTATAAGAGAAAACCAAAAATTTTGCTTACATAAGTATCCTAAAGCATTACAAAACTGCTGGGCTGCTTCATTGTCAATGCTACCATCATCACAAAAACCAATTAATGATCCTTCATAGCAATACGCCACAGTACCACTTATTCCTTCAAATCCATTAACAATCATTGTCTGATTGTTGTATAGACTAATTTCAGGACCATCACAAAGAGCTATTGGGATTCGCATGAAAGAGGGAGAGAGAAAAATATCAAAGGAAGAGAGAAAAAAGAGGATAAAAGAAAAAGAAGAGAATGGGAAGTAGTAGAAATGATAAAGGATGTGTCAATAAAAATTCTATTTCATTTTTGGATCAAGAATGTCTTTACATGTTATCAAGAGTAAATAATACCTATCAACTAACTAACTAATAATTATTAACTAACATTTCAAACAAGTAAAGTTTAGGTATCCATTGGCACAAAGGGATTCAGAATATGATGGATCAGAGCAGCTATACTGAGGGTCACAGGATATACCAGTGACAGTATAACTGATATCATTCTCGTTGAGTGGAGCTAGAGTAACATTAGGAGGAGTACCAACATATCCAGCTATAGAAAGAAAGGAGGGTATAGTAATAATGAAATTAACAATGTCCACTTAATTTATAAGATTTATATATTTAGCCATTACTTCTTAATATTAATCATAACTAACCAGAGGTATTAAATGGAGAGCACAGTATTGCAGGACCCAATGCTCCAAGTGACACTTCACTACAGATTGGAGCAAAAGTCCCATTGATACATACAGTAGGATATCCAGTTACATAACCAGACGTTACAATAGTACTATTGAATTGAATTTGCCCAGGGAAACATCCAGGATAATCAAACTGAGCATTGGTTGACTGTATACTGGCTAGCAGTAGCACTACCAGTACTAACAGTAAATGTGTAACTCTCATCGTGTGCATGAGCTTAAAGAAGGAGAGAAAGAAAAAAAGATAGCGTCATGTGCTGCACGTGCATATAATAAATAAAAAATACAAAGTGCCATTTACATAAAATCAACAGTGCAAGATATTCAAGGCTATGCATGTATAGAAAATATCAGAGTAATGTACACATGTGTGTGTCTTTCAGTTTAAAATACCTTATGAGCTGCTCAACACTTGAAAGTAAACTACAAGAGTAAGAAGAGAGGAGAGGGAAAGGGATAGCAAAGAGAGAGGAACAAGAAAGTAAAGAGAGAGAAACTAAAAATATGATAGGCTATTTTTATTTAATTAAAATAGTTAATGCAATTAGATGTAACATATTGAAAATGAAGTAGCAAATAACTTTATGAACTTATACATAAAACAGATCTCGTCTATTGGCTTGCGACCAGAAGTGCTGTACAAACCAATGGCACATGCATCAATAACACAAGAGTTGAACTTTGGTCAACTTATGTGCTAACTCGCAGCATTTGTACAGCACTTCCGGTGCTCTTCCTGTCACAACGCATGATATTGTGTACTAGGCCTTATAATGGCAAGAGTGAGAGAGAGGCAAAGAATGAGAAGTACATAGACATTTGTCACATTTTTAATAATAGATACTACTCACTACTATACAAGTTTCCTAATTAAATTGGAATTGTACTATACTAACAAAAGGCATGTGACACACCAGCAAATAATCCTCATTAACATATCACTCCTACTTCTCTCCTTCTTTACTTGAATGTACTTAGGGTGAGCGGGGTGTCTGAGAATGCACTACTGAAATAACCATATCACAAGGTTACAAAGCCACAAAAATGAGGGACTTTACCAATAGATTTCATTAGGCAAACCCACAACTCTAAGTTACCATGGCTTCTATTTACATTATCATATACCAGGTGAGCTAATGGATAGATGGTTTGTCAAAGATCACTAGATCATGTAATAGATCTTCATGATACATGTCACTTTTGACCATTAAACTTTTACTTAAATAAGCTGATTTGTGATTATAGACTGAATTGAGACTGGCTGCTTTTACTCCTATTCATGCAGAAACAGTAAGACTTATACAATTAACATCCATTCTTTTCCTATACAGTGTAAATCTGCAAAACTACAAGTACCATTTGCACTATATACAGCAAAGGAATTTAAAGCTTGTTTAAATACACAAATCTAAACAATGGTTACAGGCAAGCCACATGACTCAAAGAAATATTTCTTGCTGGAATTAAAAATATTATGCAAGTAGTTTTGCCAAATTAAATGTACAAATGTATACATAATTATGACAATAGTACTGCAATATATGTATCAAATTTCAACAAACAGATCAGTTATATGATTACTACGACTATGAGGCGCTATAGTGTGATTCTTTTACATTTGTCAAGTTATTATTAAAGATGCAATGTAGTATAAAAATTTGGATATTAAATAATAAACTGTTTAAGTGCATGAATCACACAAAATGCTTGCTCCTGCAGACCTACAATTTTTACCATACATTTGCAGTAGTACTACTGAACTCTTAGCACTTTCAATTGCCCACAAATGCAATGCTCTTAAGAAGCACGATATTTTTGGTATTGGACAGTTCAGTTAAATCAAACTGTACACAAACAGGTATACAAAAGAGGAATCATGCATGAGGTACAGTGAAGAATGTCATATGTTTACCATGTATATAATGACATTTTTGCTCTATTGACATTATAATACAAATTATATGTATAACAGATAAGCTCGTGGATTTTTAATCATCTCAATTTAGGCCCTAAATGGATCTATCGTGCATGTAATGGGCTCGTTACAAAATTCATTAAGGAAACGAGGCGGACTGCACTCATACACGTGAACTTACACTCCTAGCTTCTTTGTCTTTAGCCGAATGCAATCTCCTGAATCTCTGACAGACCACAAATTCAGAGGACGAGAGCTCTCCTACTCACAAGTGGAGGGAGAGAAAGAGAGCGGGATAACTATGCACGTACCTGATTTAAAAGGCCGCGGCTGAGGGCGGGGCTGGCAAATTGAGCGCCCACATACATTATCCAGCACCAAAATAATATCAGAATCAGGGTCTCTGTTTGTCATATTAATGATGCTTTGAAAGTAAAAATTATTTAATTATTATCAGAAATCCTAAATGGATATTGAATGTTTGTAGTAGATAAACTTAAGAGCAGAAAAATTATTGTTTATTTTCAGCTATAGCTCAGAGTAAATAAAAGGCTGCATTCTGCCAACTAATGGAGTCAATATCAAGTAATGCGTGCCTGTATTGTAATGGTTTCTATTCACTTAAAGTAATGGATTAAGAGTAAAACAATGAATGATCTGAAATTAATATTATTTCATTAAAATTACAACCAGCTTGTATCCTCAGGTTACAACAACATTATCTTATGCATCAAAGAAATGAAGGAAGCTAGTGCTACTTTATATGCATTACCACCCAACAAGGCAATTGTGGTTCTAAATTTATCATTATATTTATCATATAATTATATTCGTAACAAAGACTCATCCTCTTACTGTACTGCTATACTATGAACAAAACCAGTACTCACACTTAGAGTAACATGATACTGTTAGTAACTAATAAGAAACACATGACACGCACATGAACATCAATTTGCTCTAAAAATTCTCTAAAATGTCGTTTGTACACAATAAGCATAGCATGCAAATTCCTAGCAAAATCAATGTCAGCCACACAAGTATAAACATGATAGTACACGTCACAATTACTGGCAATAATGCATGCAGGAAATGACATACATCAACTTATGTTAGTCTAAATTATAAGTGCAAGCTCAAATGTAAAGTTTGGGAACAATTAAGGAATGAAAATGTATTATTAGCAGGTAAAAATTTGTCATTATTGGATTACTAAAACTAACAAATAAATGTATCCGTATTGCAAGTGGCAATACTGACACGTACACAACATGACTTTGGCCTGATTATTGAGACTACATAAGAATTCACATAACATTCAATTTTGATTGGAATCAGCTCAAACTTTCTACAGTAACACAACATAAGTAGATACATAATATGCATCAGGAAAAATTAAAAATTGAGAATTCTCTTTTTAATTTTTTTTGGTGAAATTTGATCAAAAGACCCTGTACTATAGTACAGGGACTTTTACCTGATTTTGGAGCAACTTAAAAATTCACATAGCATCCAATCTTGATTGGAATCAACTCAAACTTTTTACACAATACGAGAACATGTGTATATGTATTAGGAAAAATTATAACAATGAAGAATTTGATAAACTTATTGATGAACCTAGAAGCTATCAAACTTATAATGGACAATGCAATGGAGCATTGCCAATGGTAATAACTTGTATTCATTCCAATGACAACTGACACTAACACCAACTACTCTGTGCTCACATAGTCAATGAGTAGTTGAGTACACCAACTGGATTAACAATGAACGATGAATGTAAATAATTCCTTTTGTCAAAAATAATTTTTAGTTAATAGTTTTTGCAATAAAAATTTTCACTACATTAAAAATATTTATATGACTCAATGCACATAAAAATACATACTAATTAATAAATCAAATAAATATTGAATTTAAAAAGCTAACAAACTATATTATCTGTTTTCCTTGTGCAATAGCTGAAAAAACAGGAATAAGAGCATTCCTAATAGCATCAGAAAACTTAGTTTCATGTGAATAAGTGGTCCCCCTGGCTGATAACTGCTGGAAGGCAAGAGCTTGCTGCAGCATAGCATCAGGTATTTTACCAACAAACTGGGCCAGTGTTGGTTTAGGCAAACCATTACAAGGGCTACCACATTGATGGATGAGAAAAAACATTGCCATTCCTTCAATCCCAGTATCAGTCACTCCGTATTCCTTTTTAACAGAGATCATAGCAGGATCTGTTAATCTATAACAGTTTCCATTCTTCACTCCTTGTATATCAGTAACCATTTCTTCTCCTTTGCTTTTCACCCAGCTCCAGTGCATGAATGCTGTCAATATGGAGTCTACTCCTCTAGCTTCTGATGACACATACCCATAATTGTTACACCATTTTATATAATTCCCTTCGAGATAATCTTCATTTACTGTGTACTCATCAAGCTTGACTTTAGTACTAGAGCCAACCTTTGTCACTATACCAGTTTCGCATTCAGTAAATTCCAATCCTCTTCCAAATCCTGAGGTATATTCTTGAGCTTTAGTGTAAATCTTCACTGTAGAATCCCAACCTTTTGGCTCCCAAACATAGTTGTCTTTGAATTTCTTTACAACACAACTTTGTCCACATTTAGTAGGATGTTTGGTATAGTGCCCCTTAAAAGCATATCTGAATCTTCCTTGAGCAAATGGCTCTGACTCAAAAGTTGTCTCCCATGTAGACATTCTTTCTGCAGCCAACAATATCAATGGAAAGCTGATTCCTTATAACTGTATGTCAGTCAGAGAAAGTACAAGGGGCTATCCCCTTCCTGAAATACGTATGTAGAGCCAGTTCAAAAATTGTAACAGCTTTGAAAAGTCAATGATACCAATTCAAAATTTGTGTGGGTAGTTTTGATAGTATCACTCCCCTACTACATTATTATAATGTACATAGTCTAGGTGTATCAGATTAATATTTTTCTGCTTAACAATACATAGCGTAATTGGGAATTCTGTTCATAGCAAAAAATGATTCACTATCATGCATGCATGCTCTAAGCCCACCGTCCACTATTAAACTTGTTGAATGTGCCGTTAACTCTACTACTTGAGAAAATTTTTTTCACCAGCTATTAACTTCGCAAAAAATTTTATCTAACACACAGTGCAATACATTCTAAAAATGAAAAAATAGTTTATTTTTTACAAACTCTATCTATTTTCCTTGAGCAATAGCTAAAAAGATAGGAGTAATAGCATCCCTAACAGCCTCAGGAAATTTACATTCGTTAAAATAAGTAGTTCCCCTTACTGACGAATGCTGAAAATTGAGAGCTCTTTGCAGTATTTCATCAGGTATTCTACCAACAAACTGGCCAAATGTTGGCTTAGGCAAACCATTACAAGGGCCAACGCAGGAATGAGTAATGAAAAACATTGCCATTGCTTCGATCCCAGTATCAGTTGCTCCATATTCCCTTTTAACAGAGATCATAGCAGGATCTGTTAATCTATAATGGTTTCCATTCTTCACTCCTTGTATATCAGCAACCATTTCTTCTCCTTTGCTTTTCACCCAGCTCCAGTGCATGAATGCTGTCAATATGGAGTCTACTCCTCTAGCTTCAACTGACACATACCCATAATTGTTACACCATTTGATGAATTCACCTTCGAGAAAATCTTCATTTACTGTGTACTCATCAAGCTTGACTTTAGTACAATCACCAACTTCAGTAACTGTACCAAGTTCATATTCAGTAAATTCCAATCCTCCTCCAAATCCTAAGGCATATTCCTGAGCTTTAGAGTAAATCTTCAAGGTGGAGTCCCAACCTTTTCGCTCCCAAATATAGTTGTCTTTGAATTTTTTTACAACAATATTTTGTCCACATTTAGTAGGATGCTGGGTATAGTGCCCCTTAAAAGCATATCTGAATCTTCCTTGAGCAAACGGTTCTAGGTCAAAAGATGACTTCCATACAGACATACTAGTAGTTTACTAAATTATTCTTTTTGTAACAATATCAATGGAAAGCTGATTCCTTATAACTGTATGTCAGTCAGAGAAAGTACAAGGGTTATCCCCTTTCTGAAATTTCCACTGTATGTGAAACCATTTCAAAAACTTTAACAGCTTTGAAAAGTCAATAACACCAATTCAAACTTGTGTGGGTAGTTTTGATTGTGTCACTCCACTACTACATTGTAGTGTTTGGAGCATTAGTATGCCTACATGATAGTGATATCAGCCTGAAAGACCTCACTCATGCTAATTGCAGTGAAGCCAAAAATTAATAATTTTTCTCCAGCTATTTTGGTATTGTGACTATGCATTTTAGTAAAATTTGATCACTGATAATTTTAGCTCAAAACAGTAAAAGTTACCATATCTCAACAAAGCAGAACTAGCTCAATTGTATCGCCCAATAAATATTTATGATAAGTATGACATGTCATATAACTTAATTTTAGTATTATTCAAATTAGTTTTTCTATTCTAAATTATTCCAATTTTAATGTAAATCAAAAATAAATTATTAAACTTATAAGTCTAATAATTATTATCTAGCATTAAAATTAAATTTTAAAAATATTTCTTATATTTAATTTTAATAATAAAAATAAATTAATTTTATTAATTTTAATTAATATTTTCTCTAAAAATTTGTACAAATTTTCTTAAAAATTAATTTCCCAGCAAATTTCCCGAAAAAATAATTTTTTTCAATTTTTTTAGTAATTTTTTTTGGCAAATTTCCAGGGAAAAATTAATTTTTATTTCACCAAAAAATTTTCAGGAGAAAATTAATTTCCCGCAAATTTTCCGGGAAAAATTAATTTTTGTTTTACCAGCAGATTTCCAGAGAGAAAAAACTAATCCTCCAGGTAAAATTAATTTCCCGGCAAATTTCCCAGGAAAATTATTTTTTGTTAATTTTTTCGCCCATAGGCGGACTAGGTTAATTATATAAAGGCGTGGTCTCATTATTAATTAAGTTTTAATTAATAGAGAAGGGCGGGACTTCCTCCTAACCGTACAGTGCAGTGAAGCAGAAGAGCGATCATACAGAAAAAGTGCTTCATTACATGTGACTGGTAGACTTTCTAAGGACCAAGAGAGGGAAAGAAGCACCGCAAGGGAACCTTTCCACCTCTCTCTTCATTGAGATTCTGTGCCTCTTAGCTTCGCGGTCACTAGCCATTCAATTTTTGACACTGTTTTATTATCATATTGTGGTCTGAAAGGCTGATAACCATCTCCCTGACCCTCTCCTTTCTGTGTCTTCGTGTGTATTGCTGCTATCTCAGTTTCTCCCCCCTCTCTCTTTCTCTCTCTGGATCTCTTCTCTCTCTTTGGCAGTGGAATAAAGTTTAAGTTCCTGTGATATTATCATAATAAGATGGCTACTCCTTCAGTTTGGGTTGATGCTGTTGTCAATAAAGCTGCTCATCTTGTAAGTAACCTTTGCCTCTCTCCTCTTCTTTTTTGTACTTTTAATTAATTGAGGGGGTGTACATGTACAATAGGGTTACATATACATGTAGGCATTCTATTTTTTGCATTATTTGTGTTGGTCTCATTATTTTTAATGAGTCGGTATGCCATTAGTGTATACATGTATGCAAGTGTTTAATCATTCATCTTATTCACTTAACAGTCTTTAACTATCGGTTGTTTACAACTGTTAATTGGGTCTCCCTCTTTCTCTCTCTATCTCTCTCCCTCCCTCTCTCTCCCTCCCTCTCCCTCTCTCTCCCTCCCTCTCTCCCTCCCTCTCTCTCTCCCTCCCTCCCTCTCTCTCTCTCCCTCCCTCTCTCTCTCCCCCTCTCTCTCCCTCCCTCTCCCTTTCTCTCTCTCTCTCTTTCTTTCTCCAGCTCCCCCATCTTCCTAATCCCCTGGGCTCCTCCACTGATGAGTTATTAAAGGAGTCCATTACTTCAATACTAGACCTCAGTCAGTACCAGTTTGCAGCTGTCATAAGTGGTTTGTCTAGTTTACTGGAAACCCTTAACAAGGTCCACAGATACAGCATTAATATGTACATGTACATCTAATATAAATTGTTTCTTTATTTATATGTTGTTTTATGTAAGTATAAGGTTGTAGTACTTGTAGTACAGTATAGCTTGCCTTTACCACTGCCACCTGGTCATTCCCTGGTTTCCCTTCAATTTCTTCATCACGTGGTATATACTGACTTCCTTTTTTCAAAGGACAGCTGCATCTCTCTTTCTCCCTTATCTCTTCTCTCTCTCTCTCTTCATAAAGCAAATATCCCTACTGATACGTGTATAAAGCAACAGTTTATAATCTGGATGTTTATTTTTAATTGTTAATGATTATATTTTTATAAAGACTATTTTATTTAATTTGCTTATGTTACCCTACATAAATTGCTCTATGTACACAACTGTGTGTATATATATGTATACATGTCCATTATATGTGTGTCATTAGCTTATGTATGCATAATTACATGTACATGTATGTGTGTATGTGACACATTCTTGTGGTATAATGCATTTGGCAATATTATAAGAGAGGGGGGTGGTTGGGGGGTTGGGGTGACAGAGAGAGAGAGAGAGAGTGAGGTTTGTCTGTTTGTATATGTGTGGGTGATCCAAACTAAACTGTTATACAAAACATTGTTTGCTTATGAAAATTGACAGTATTTGATGAGTATATAACACTTTCATATTATAATATAGTACAAAGTGTCCGGCATAGAAGGAAAGGGAGGGAGAATGAGAGAGGAGAGATGGCTCTGTAAAAATATAATTTAAGACAAAAGCAAACTAGGAAGTAGGTTGTTGGCCAGCTGGAGGACTATTAGGAGAATAGGAAGCAAGCACAGAGTGAAATCCAACTCTTCTATATGATAATGGCTTTTTTACATACACTGTACATAATTTATACTTAAACCAACTTTACATTATATATACTGCATGTACATGTATATTGCATCTTTTCATTGATTTTAAGCCTTTGGGTAAATATGTATTGTACACATGTACAGCCATTAGCTGGTAGGGAAATATTGTGATTTTGAAAGGAAATGAGATTGCTATTAAGGTGGATGAGGTTATCTGGCAGGATTTGTTGATGTGTGTGTGTCTTGGGTTGTTTGTATGGACTCTGTTGCAACATTTTCTTATAATTTTATCAATTTCTCTTCCTCTCTCTATCTCACTTTATCTTTTCCTCTCTGACTATAACTATACTCTCTCTATCTCTTTTATTTAATTTTTTTAATATTAGGAGTATCCTCCTACAGTAGCTGATCCTGCTGTGGTCCAGTCTTACTGTATTGTCCTGGACTGCTTGGCTTCATGCTTATCCCAAGTAACCATTACCACAATCATCACATCCACCTGTTTTCTGTCTCTCTCCCTCCCTTCCTCCCTCCCTCCCTCCCTCCCTCCCTCCCTCCCTCCCTCCCTCCCTCCCTCCCTCCCTCTCTCTCTCTCTCTCTCTCTCTTTCCTGTAGAGAGGTACAATCTCTTTTGAAGATGGTGACTTGCCCTCACTCCAGCATTTCTTCCAGAGGATCACACAAGTTAGTTTAAGATCAAGAAATACATTACAGCATAACTATTGCTTCATGTACTTACATGTACTTGCATGTATCATAATGTAAGCTGTTAAGATTTCCTTGTATCTCTAGCTCCTGCTTGTATTGGGCATACACTGGTCTGTATATTTATTAGTTGTAAGTATGAGCTACTTATCACTGGAGTCTACTACACATAATGACACAATAAGATAAATAAAATGGAGCTTATGTGTACAGTACATATACATGTACTAAATTATAATTATATATTTGTATACATGTACATGTACATTTACATTTATTTTACAGATAAGCTGGCAATTGTTATTATTAAGTCCGTGGTTTTTTGGAGCCATTTCTGTTTTTATTTTGAGAATAAAAGTTAATCATTGTTATTTTTGTTTTAAACTTTTCTTATTTCAATATCATTATGTCTTTTTCTATCTTTCCACTCCCCGCCTCTCTCTCTCTCCCTTTCTCCCCCCGCTCATAGCTGTGTCTATTATCAGGCCCAGAGACAGAGAAGATATCTTTATCAGCCTGCTCTGTTCTTTATCAATTGAGCGGCCTCCATTTTCACAGCATCTTTAATAAGATTATACTGAGGTGAGTCAAACAATACACACACAATGCTTGTTTGTCCCTATTATCCTGACAGCCAGTGATGAAGTAATAATGACGTAATACTGTAATACAGTGACTGCTTGAGCTTCCTAGAATAGGCTATACACATGTACATGTACATGTATGTGTCAAACTACTCCCTGTTAACATATTGTTGTTATTCATTCAACTTGTTTGCCTGATAGTATCTTTATTTTTCACTTTCTCTTACTATACAATGTGCATGTACACTAGTAAGTTTTATTTTTATTTTTGATGTCATTGTGACTTTCTTACTTCCCTAACTCTCTTTTACCCCTATAAACTACATGTATATGTCTTTTACCAATTTCTCTCTCTTTCTCTCTCTCTCTCTCTCTCTCTCTCTCTCTCTCTCTCTCTCTCTCTCTCTCTCTCTCTTTCTCTCCTCAGAGTGACATCAGTGAATAGGATTAGTAATTTAAGTGATTCCTCCACTAGCAGTAGTAGCACCTATAGCTCAGAGCAGTGTGTCATTCAGCTGATACCTCATCTTAATCTCAATGCTCCTAGACTCCAGCAGATACTACAAGGTACGTGTGCATGTACATACACATAATGTGAATACATGCATCATTCATAAGTGAATATTAAATTTTGTATTATTGATTTTATGTGGACTCTATAGCAGACAGAGCCCCTACCTTTTAAAAATGACCCCTTTCTTTATAAAAGGGTATAGCACAGTACATGTACATGTATTTATGTAGTTTAGTATACAAATGAGCCATTTATGTATACATGTGTAGAAAGGGACATCATTTGGAAAACATTTTCAATGGTCCTAATTCCCAAGGTGTCCTTTATAAAGGGGCTTCACTGTATGACTATATATTGGATATGTACAGTGTACATTTAGTACACTCCCTTTGTTAGGTTTGTTAGTAGATACTGTCTATACATGATATTTGTGCTACATGTACCTGTACTGTTTGTTCTTTATAGTATAAAGTTTATACTTTATTACTGCATGCTTGTACATGTAATATGTGTTTCAAGCCTTACACTGCCCACTATTTAGATTTGGAAGATTTATTAATAATCCTTTACATGTACAGACAGTGTACATGCTTGTATGGTCATTTTATAATGCTATATATATATATACATGAAATTTTGTAATTATTTTTCCAGTGATTGTGACCAGTTTCAAAGACCTCAAAAAACACAAGCAAATGTTTAGTTCAATACCAGAAATACTCCACAAGGTACATTGTATAAAGCCACGTGTATCAATTGCTTTATTTTGTTTGACATTTTAAATTTAATTCTTTGTTTAGAGTATATGGAATTTTATGCGCGAGTATCCAGCAGAGTTTAACGAGGTGTTGAAAAGTGCTTACCCATCCCTAGCCAGTAAGTACATGGAATCAACTCTTTCCAAATAATTTCACTCTTTCTCTTTCACCCTCTCTTCTCATTGCTCTCTCTCTCTCTCTCTTTCTTGTCTCTCTTAGGGTCGGCAGAGAAGCTCTTCACGCAGTGTGATGAATATGCTGATACTGTGAAGAAGAAAGGTCAAATATGGCCACTTCAGAACACGCTACTGCTGCTCTGTCCCGTAAGAATATAGCAACAAAAGTGGCTCCTAAATTATCAATTTTCACACCCTTATACTCCTGTAGAAAGTTTAAGCTAACAGTATTGAATTAAGGCCATTTTGAAAAAGTAGCCAATTTTTCAAAAAGTACCATGGACTGTAGCCCATGCTTTTTTTCCAAAAAATGGCTCCGAAATCACCCCTAATTTTTATTACGTTTTCTGATGCATATATTAATACCCTTGTGCTACTTATAAATGGAACATGTATTTTTAGTTACATGTACATGTACTTTGTTACTATTAATAGCATTCACATGCATGTGCTGTACATGTGTTTCCTTTTATAGCATGTCATGGAGAGTATGGCATTTGGAGACGGAGACAAAGGGAGTCCGAGACACAAGACAACGGTAGGCGGAGCAATGAGTGTGGCCTAAACCTCCCTGTTTATTTTTTAGACTCAGAAAAACTTTCTCTCGTCCGTCATGAAAGGTTTTGGTAATAAGCTGCTCTGCGAGGCAGCAGTGATCTGTGCTACTGACATGTTCACTGCTTGCACTTATGTCACTGACAGATCCAGTCAAATATTTAGATATTTCGTAACGCAAATGCAAGGGAACCTACAGGTGGGAAGGAAACAGTACCTGTACATGTACATGTACATATAGTGCACTTACATATAGTGCACATGTACATGTACATACGTGTATAGTAGTGTTTTGATTTAATACAAATCAGAATTTAATTATTTTATTTATTATTTTTATTAATAATCAGAATTTAATCATTATAGTTCTTCTCCATTATAATTCTTCCTTTCTTATCCCTACCTTAATTGTCTCCTTTACTTCTTTTCCTGTACAGAATCTCTTGTTCTGCCCCTCTTCCCCGTTCCTCCACCAACCCTCAAGTGTTGCTGCTGGCATGCCAACATTCTCTGACATGGACATGATGGTTCGCTGTTTGGTGGCACAGTTTCGGCTTAATCATCGGAACACTCATACCTTCAACATTTGTATCAACTTTGACTCTCCCCCCTCGTTCAAACTGGCTTTCCTTCAAGCGCTTCACGTTCTCTTGAAAGAGGTAGGCATTATCGTGCTTTTTTTCTTTTCTTCATTCCTCCATTAACCATACGTGTACATGTATGATAGTCTTTTTTTATTACCAATCACATTCCTCACTGTATAAAATAACCTCCATATAAAAGACACCTCTGTATAACAGAGACACTTTCTTGTACCAAAGTGTCCATTATATAGAGACTACGCTGTATGATGAACATGTATAGTACAATTAAAGATTTATAATCCTTAATATCCATATAATACAGCTGTTATAAAAAATACATGCTCTTCAGTCTTCATTTACCCTCTCTTTTCTCTCTCTCTCTGTTCTATAGAAGCAGACCATGTCTTGGTGGCCTGATTCAGCAGCTGTGTATGTGTATGCTACTCAGCTTAGAGCAATCTTTCAAGTGAGTTAGCTCATAAATACAATTAAATTAATCCGTTTATTTATTGCATTTTTTATTACATGTTAATTGAATTGTAGTAAATATGTATCCTTATATGGTCATTTTACTGTTTTGCACCAATCAGTGTTGTACATGTATGTGTGCACTATATAGAGTGTATAGTATACTGCTAATGGCTGACAGTAAGAGTGCTGGCAGCTACAGGAGTACAATATAAATGGCTACAATCAAGAGTACATGTACATGATGGGTTAGAGAGAGTGCCTAACAGTTTATTAAATACTACACCCAAAATGGACACTCTTGTTAATGTAGCAGCCTACAGTAGTATGGTTAGACACTCTCTCTAACCCATTATGTACTCTTGCTACAATATACTCTACACGAGTATGTTGTGAATGGCGATATAGCACAATTGCTAAGTTTAACAATCAATGAAGCAGACGAGACTCCATGAATTTGATAATGTGTATTACGCTGTTAATGATGGTGAAGAAGATATTAGCCAGTGATACCTTTTATACATGTACATGTACATTAATTGTACGTGAACACTTGTAAATGAGTGCATTAGACTTGTGTATAAATTTCTCCTCCTTTTCTAATAATCTTTCTTCTTTTTCATATTGCATGGATAAACAATTTATTCTACATTGTACATATACATGTACATGTACATACATGCTGTTTTATATCACTATTATTCCTTAAGTTTTAAATCTTTCTCTTTTTTCCACTTCCTTTCCTCCCATGTCTCTCATTAGACTGTTATTCCTATCGTCAGAAAGTGTGATATGACCAGCCCCACCCTCTCCAATGACATTCGCTGCTTCCTCCAGTCCCCAACAGCTGCTAATAACATGCTGAACACAAAGAGCAAGACGGAGAAGAAGCAGCTAGTGGAGCTAATAGTCCACTACCAACTAATCCAATGGATCATCAACCTCTATAGCATGGACCCCATACTTGCGTTTACTTTTAAGGACCCCTCCGGGGCCGCGGGAGAGTCCCTTCACCTCATGACCGGGCTCGTTAGTCTCGTACAGCACCAGACCCCGCCCCATTTATTCCTTAATACCAGCGAGGTACTACTTAAACTCCACGAGCCACAGAACATTGAGCTATGGGATCCACTCAATACAATGGTTGCCTTTTGGGATATCTCATGTCAAGTAACATACTCCATTACTCAGAAGCTTTTCTCTCGTAAGACAACTGAGCCGCTCCAACTACTCAAGTGGCTACGGGAGATACTTTATTATCGGACCTCGTTTCTACGTAAACACAGCCAGGAGGCTTTCCTGGGCGGAGTCAATAGCAAAGTCTCGCAGCAGCTATACACTATGCTTGAAACAGTCTTGCTTCTCTTCTTGCGCAATATTGACATTGAGGCCGTACAAGTTGCCATGTCTTCTTTCAAGTTTCTTGTCACCGAAGCAGATCTGGTGAGTTCCCCCACAGAGCCAGTCCCTTATGCTGCTAATCTGAGGCCGTACAAACAACTCGAGGCAATCAGTAAAACACTTTTAATAGGGCGGGCAGCACAACAGAAAAGAATACGTTTGATATTGAAGGATTTAGTACACACCCCAGGGAGTGCCCTTGCTTGGGAGGATACTTACTCCTCCTGGAGGGTGAGTAGGTCGCTCCTTGTTGCTTATCATAATCCACACTCTGAGACCCAACCCCCTGACGTTATAAAAGGGGCGGAGTCATTTCCTCACACGCTAATGCGGAAGGTTAATAATTCTTTCATTGCTAAGCCGTCTGCTAGAATGCAGGAGACGCTAACTGAGGAAAACCTTCAGGCTACGCTACTAAACTGGACTAACATGACAGGGTTTCTCTGCTCTCTTGCTGGAGTATCTACTAAATCATTTCAGAATTATCCGCTAGGGATCCTTCCTGGGGTAACCTCCTCTTCTTCCCTACCAGGGGGAGGAGGTGGAGAAAGTGTGTCTCCTCCTAATAGCGTCGGGACTATGCCAAGAGGAGTCGACATGACCGACTGCCCAACATCAACCTCCTCCACCTCTACCACCTCAAAGGTCAAGAGAAGCTCCAGCTATCACGGAAACCGACCCAAGAGTGTAGCTATACACGCTCCTCAAGCTAGACTAGCCAACCAAGAGTCGGTTCGGTTCAGCTCAAGCGGAGAGAGCATAGCTTCGGTCGAGGATCCGCTTAGAAACTCATCAGGTTCTGTCCCTCCTTCGTCAGCTTCCTCGTCACAGACCGAAGGATTCATAGCAGATATGATTCATTTATTAAGTTGTGATAACGAGGCTGTGGGTGTCAACATACGTGAGACTGTCAAAGAATTTGTAAGTGGCGAGCTCAGTCCGGTGATATACCCGTACCTCTTTCATGCACTCCAGGAGGAGCTGGAGCGTATCGTGGACACGCTTCATTTGGATGTCACAGAGACTAACACAGTTTTTGTGGATCAGGTGGTCTCCATAATTCAGAGGATCATGGACTCAAAGACGGAGGGTGGGTTCGATAATCTGGTACATGTTAAAGTCGACCAGGTCCTCCTTGCTCTGTTGAAATATGTGTATAATCTTGAGAGTAAAGATGAGCGGTCCCTAACCATGAAGATTAAGCTGTGTGGGCTACTCCAAACTGTAAGTACATTGTACTGTATGTAGAAATTACGAGTGTGATTCCAATCAAAATTGTATTTTTTACAAATTTTAAAGTTCCTCTAAATGCCTTATGCTATTATAAGGCTCTTAGCTCATGGAGCTCATGCTTTTAACTCATTTATGAGGAAACCTTGACACAGTGCATGCTTCCAGTTACAGTGCTTTTTCTCTTCCCATCAGGTGGTACAGCACAGTCGTGAGCTCTCATTCCATAATGAGATACAGTTCAGGAACAGTTTGGTCGAGTGTCTCACTCAATGGGTCTCTGGTAAACTTGCTGGTGAACACGCAACACACGAGGAAACTCTTAGAAGGTAATGAACTACAATGTACATGTACATGTAGTGATGTACATGTACATGTACTGTACATGTACATGTAGTGATGTACATGTACATGTATTGTTGTAATGTGTGTATGTACATGTACAGTAGGAGGAGTCCTGGCAGTGATGCCAGAATAAGGTGTAATTTGGCAATAAACAGTATCCTCCAGACATAAGTGACAAGTAATGTACATGTACTTGTAAAGGGTCATTAACTTGGTGATAATGTCTATGTCTAATTCCTCCAATTTCTTACGTTTACATGTACATGTACATGTATATATACATAGTGTATATTCTATAAATGATATTGGGTATAGTATACATTTTAATCCACATCGTTTCTAATGTACATGTACAACTCTTCCTACTTTGGAATTTCTTATTTGTTCGACTAATTAAAGTTATTTTTGGGACACTTATTGTGTCCTATATTTGGTAACGTCGAAATGTGTGTCATTTTAAATTAATTATTCTATAGCGAGTTGGATCTTAATGCTATGAAGGCAGTGGGTGTGGTTTTATGTGGCCTACCTCTACAGCCTAAGGATATTGGTAATGATATTTATGAAGAGAAGGAGAAACTTTTCTTGAAGTAAGACACTTGTACAATTATTTACAGATTATTTGTATTTCAAAATAATTATATAGAATTTGCAATTTTTAATTTTTTGCTTGTTCCTTAATACTTCCATCTGTTTTTCCTTTTTTTCTTCTCTCCCTCCTCCTCCTTTCTTTCTCCTCCTCTCTCTCTCCCCCCCTCTCTCTCCCCCTCTCTCTCTCTTCAGATATTTCAATACATTCCTTAACTTGGTTCATTCGATGAACAGTGTTGAGACCTCTAAACTAGGTCAGCTAAGAAGGGCCACTATCACTCGTCAAGTCTCTGCTCTACGTGAAGCTACAATACTTGCCATGTCCAACATGCTCACCGCCAACATTGACAGTGGACTTACTCATGCTATAAGTAATACATATGATTAATACTATGAGCATTGGTAAATCTTTGTTTTTTCCCAGGTCTTGGGTATCACAGTGATTTAAAGACTCGTACCAGTTTTATTGAAGTGCTGACATCCATTTTGAAACAAGTAATGAATAATAATGATATGTGAATTTAATTTATTTATTGTTATTAATAAATTGCTATATATAATATAATTAATAATTTGCTATTGACATTATTTAAATAATAGCTAATTGATTCTATTATTATTATTAATTAATTTATTATTATTATTATTATTATTAGGGTGCAGAGTTTAACAGTTTAGCTGACACAGCACTTGCCGATCGTTATAATCAACTCCTTGAACTGGTTACCGTAGAGACAGAGGACGGAGAGCATCCCATAATGGTTGCACTTATTAATTCCGTACCTTTCGATAATCTGGTAAGACATGTAACATGTACATGTACATATACAGTACATGTACATGTACATGTACGTATACATGTACATGTACATGCAATGTATGTTGTAATTCTCTTTTCTTCTTGAAATAGGATGAATTGGCTGAGGTTTTGGTCGTCTTGTTTGATTATAAGAACAAGTTACCTTCTTTCCTAACGCAGATACTGCTCACCGAGGTAAAAACCATGTACATGTACAATTGTACCTAGTTTATTGATTATAATGTATCGTTATACTGTTGTAGGGAAGCATTCATGGGCCAATTACATGTAATTTGTCAATTAGCAGTTTTGTAAAGAAACTTCCAATTTGTAATCTTTAATCTGAAAATGCTGCAATGACACTTACATGTGTACATGTAGTTGTATATGCCGTAGATTATAAATTTATGATAGACTCCAGCTTGATTTAATGCACTGATAAATATAACTTGATATTTAGTATTATTGTACATGTACATGTAGGTTGATGCTCTTGAGAGTGGTAAGTTGGATACTCTCTTTCGTGGGAACACTATGGCTTGTAAGGTTCTCTCCGTCGCTTTTAAAACCTTTGGACTTTACTACCTCCAGTCTGTCCTCCGCCCCCTCATTCTCAACTTAATGAAGACAAGGGACTGTGACTATGAAGTGGATCCAATGAGGATGCAAGTATGTGTGTGTATGTAATGCACTTTATACACTGAAGTATTGTAATGTATTAAGTTTTTTTTAATTTTGACCAATTACCACCAAATTACATTTTCTGATACATATTGATGTGCTTATGCTGTGTAGAAAGTTTGAGCCGATTCCGACTTCAATTTTTCAAGTTATGACCATTTTTTAAAAACTCCAAATTCCCTGTACTATAGTCCATGGTTTTTTCCAAAAAATGGCTCCAAAATCACCCCCAATTTTTATTACATTTTTTGATACATATTGATGCTCTTATGCTATGTAGAAAGTTTGAGCCAATTCCGACTTCAATTTTTCAAGTTATGACCATTTTTTAAAAACCCTAAATTTCAGAAAAAGACCCTGTACTATAGCCCATGGTTTTTTCCAAAAATTGGCTCAAAAATGACCCTCAATTTTTATTACATTTTCTGATACATATTGATGTACTTATGCTACATAGAAAGTTTGAGCAGATTCTGACTTTAATTTTTCGAGTTATGACCATTTTTTTAAAATGCCAAATTTCGGAAAAATACCCTGTACTATAGCCCATGGTTTTTTCCAAAAAATGGCTTTTATAGCCCATGGTTTTTTTTTCAAAAAATGGCTCTGAAATCACCCCCAATTTTTATTGCATTTTCTGATACATATTGATGCCTTAATGGTCTATATAAGCATTAATTGACTATTTATTTTGTTATACTTTAATTCAATTAAGGATCGATCTAAACTGGAAAGCAACCAGAGTCACCTTTTAGAAGTTGTTAAGTCTTTCTATGACACAATCTTATCTTCATTACCCAGCCTCCCACTACAACTGAGAACAGTCTGTCACATACTCTACCAGGTAAGAAAGAGTTTTTAATAATCATTTTAAATTACATGATGCTACACATAACATGTATATCCATGTTATTTAAACCTAGCTAGCGCTATGAAGGAACTTTACTATTTTTATTACTTTTGCTTTGTAGGTTGTTGTTGGAAGGTTAGATGAGGAAGGACTTGATACTGTCAATAGTGCGATATTTCTAAGATTTATCAACCCAGCAATAGGTTTGTGTATAAGATACATATACATGTACATGTACATGTACATGTATGTTTAATGCATATACATGTACATGAAAAAGAATGAAAGCAAGACAAAAGTGAAAGAAAAAAATAATAAATAAAAATAAAATAAAAGTTAAAGTAAGAATATGAATTATATGATGATATATTATTATATCAAGCACCATCTTTAATATTATCAGTCTTACACCTTTTCTATTTCTCTCTCTTCTTTTTTCTAGTCTCCCCCTCAAGTTATAATCTAGTCCAGGGGGAAATCCCCTCCAATGCTCGTAGGGCTCTCACTCTCATCTCAAAGGTTCTTCAGAATCTTGCCAATCACGTCCTGTTCAAGAAAGAGGCTCACATGAAAGTATTCAACGAGTTTTTAGCAAACAACTTTGAGAAATCAAGAGAGTACGTTACGCAGAAATTGCATTTACGTCTAAGTACATGTACATCATAATGTGCTTTTATTTCACATTTCTTTATTTTTAACATGAATGTACATGTACATTGGGAGTTTTATATTAGGGATTTTCATTATAATAATGCCGATATTACACTATTACACTATACCAAATTAAAGCACTATTATCTTAATCTCCCTCCCTCTCTCTCCAGTTTGGCCTGCTCTATGGCCAGTATGGGTCCTTATTTAGACGGTGAAGCTGTTGAGTATATTGCCTTCCTCAAGGAAGCATACAAGTATCGCTTGCATTCTCTTCTATGGAACAATCAAGACAGAGTGGCCTCTTATGCTGCTTCAACAAGGTATAGTTAGTACACACATACATGTACATGTTAACAGTATAGTTTTTGATGCTCATATTTAAAAATTAATAATTCGCATCAATTTACACCTTCTACACTTTAATAATGATATTAGGTTAAATGTATCAGAGAGAAATTCCTTGTATGATTATTATTATTTGTTGTGTTCTTTTAGGGCCAGTATAACTGTTAGACCGTTATTTCATCAGTTGAACACTTTACTGGCACAACTAGGAGCACCTAATACACCTAAGAAAAGAACAGTCTCACTAGCCACAAGGTAAAGGCCATATTATCACACTGGAGATTTGTGTACTATTATTATTTATTTCTTATTTCATTCGTTTATTAAGGACTGCATTAGTCAGTAGTCAGTTGGAGGAGTTCATTGACAACATGAGTTCTGAATGTGATGAGAAGACTTTAAGGAAAATTAAAGCAAAAGAATTTTTTTATCAGGTAGACTATAAACATGCCTACCTGTAACTATCACTGAATGTTTCTTGCTTTTATTTCTATCTATTTTACACAATCACTCTCTCTCCCTCCATTCTTTGTCCTGTAGTGTGGTTACTCCAAAGCCGGTAATCCTTTGTTCTACATTATAATGAGGAAGTTCAGAGGAGATCAGATCCACATCTCCTACCAGTTGCTCTATCACATGATGGTTCTATTAAAGGGACACACTGAGAGATCCTTTGAACTAATCATTGACCTCACACAGACCACTCAACACAATGAGCCTGATGTATGTCCATCAGTGCATGTGCCT